TCTCTTCTTCATGCACTTTCATTCGAAATGAACGTCCCCCTAACAATGTTATCTCAGGAGATTCATCGAAACCAACTTTCTCTTCGTATCTAGTTGGGTAAAGTTATGAAACCACAGTTTTGAAATAAGTATATGTTAAATTTGAATGAGAGGATCTGAACATCCTACATATTCTGATACTTAAATGCAAAAATTAGTTGGATTTCGACAAAACCCTTCAGATAGCATTATTTGGGAAACTTTCCTTTTGCCTAAATAGCTCTAGACCTAGTGTTAACTTGAGATTTTTGCAAAAATGAATTCCTGCTTTGATAATGTTCATCATATGATGGACGAAAGCCAAGACCGTTTTCACCCAAAACGAGGGAGGATGTCTCATGGAGTTTGTCAACTTGATCATCGTATCAAGGCAAAATGGCTGCCGTACAACGGGAATCAGGTGTCCTCTTCTGGTGAGATTAACCATCGAATCGCTTCTTCATGCACTTTTATACGAAATGAAAGTCTCCCCAACAATAATGCATCTATGTCTAAAATGTAAGCCTCTTAATGATATTTATTCAATTTACGAGTCGCTGATAGCCATTTTCAAATAGATGAATTTCAAATAGGATTTTATTTGTCCCTAAAATATATGCCTCCGAAAATCCCTCGTCATCCAGGCTGGTTAGAGTTCTGACCTCTCCTGCGCCTAGTCATCTATCCCTACTGGAAAGGAAACATGGTGTTCAGGTCTTATGGGTAAGAGTGGCTGAATACTTTTATGTAAAATGCCTAGATAAATGGTACACTTTGATGTTTCTACCTGTGTAAAACAAATAAGAGATGCGAGAATTGACAGACCTGATCTGTCTAGAAGTCAAGCTTTCTGCGTTATCCAAAGAAAGGGTAGTTATCTCGTCTCTGAGCCCATTCTTCTACAGTTTATAAATTGTTTGAGCTCCTGAGGAACTCTGCGTCGAGATCAAAATTGCGTACTAGCTACATCTTAGAGTGAAAAGTGTTGTGTAATTTAAGGGAGGATTAGGTTTCGATAAGGGCCCCATTTACTCAAGTTGACATCATTGTGGAAAAAGTTGACAATATATCTACACCTTCGAATCTCTTCTTCATGCACTTTCATACAAAAAGAAGGGCCTAAACAATGTTAGTTTAAAAAATTCATCGAAACCAAGTTACTTTTCGTATCAATCCAATCATCACTTTGCTTGTATTACAAAAAACCATAGAGGCATGGTCTAACTTTTATCGGAAAAGGAGGTATGGCATTTTTTCTAATTTACATTTTCACCTTCATCTTTATACTAAATCAGCTATTCTCTGTCTAGTTTGCTCCAGTCCTAGATCCGCCCGCAATCAGGCCGAGCGCGATTTCAAATAGGGCTACTGAACAAGTGCCGATCCGAAAGTCCTCTGCTGGCTTGCCCGCAGTATTTTTGCCTAAACCAACGTTTGAGTCACCCACGGCGGTGCCCTCCGAAAAGACCAGCTCTCCGCCGACAAAAAAGTCATTAGACAAGACGGCCATTCCCCACTCGAAGAGTGCGCTATCACAAAGACATCCAAGTTCTGCGTCAGAGACGCAGCATCCGCCGATGGATACGTCGGCTTACCTGACCCTTATGTTAGAGCAGAATGCCTGGGTATTTAATACAAATCTCGATCAACTGTCGGCCGAAATGCGCCTCCACCTTTCACATGCCGACCAGTTGGCCTTGAAGGCATTGACATGCGATGAGCCTCAGCAGCTGCGCAACCAGCTTATCCGAATGGCTCATAAACGAGTGGCCGACTTTGTGGCCGAACAGATGCGGCGAGTTGAATCGCGAATGTTGGAGGAGGGCATGAGCCCTGAGGATGCCATGCGTGAGGCCTTCCAGTTGGGCGAGAGCCTTGCTCTCCAGTGGAATCTGCTGCAACACAGCCTCGGAGTTAAGGTGACGCGCAAGTTGTGCATACGAGATCCACGCCAAATCGACAGAGACAACCAGATAAGGGCGACACCAAGGACGAAACAGATTCGAGCTATGTCGCATTACGAGCGCTTCGAAGACTTATTCGTTGGAACGAATGACCTGCAGCCGGAGTCGAGTATGAGTGAAATGACGACCTATGAGGACAATGTACAGTTGGAGTTATCGTCCGCCAGGCAGTTAAAAGCCACCCAGTCTAAGGACTCAGGCGCTAGGCTCTACGAGTCCAGATCTCCGGACGGAGGGACAAGAGATTTAATATTTGGCGCAGACGAGGGCCTCGTGGGAATTCATAGGACTATTTATTCATTTCAGGACGCCAAACTACTGGACATCATCATCGAACATTTTGCCAGAATAACACGTCAGACCTCGGCCGAATTGGCCTGCTACAGACGAGTGTTCGAACAGATTTTACGACATTCAGACATGGCTAATCCAAACTCACAGTTCGCAAGCCGATTGCAGAATCTAAAGCGACGGGAATCGAAATTTTTTTGTCTTTCTTACGGTTCCAAGGCCTCCTTTCGCGAGTCTCCAAAACCGGCATCTGTAGGCTCTGTGTTTGTCGACGACGAGGACAACTGCCTGTTGGAGGCCTTTGTTGAGCTGGTCATCATGTCGGAGGCTGAGCAACCTGAGGGCAGCATTACTGGTCAGATTGCTCGAATATATCGGCTTGAGCAGTGCATCCGTCTGTTGGCCAATCAGTTGTACTCCTACCCAGTGCCAGGGTTGGTTGTGGCTTCTGGCATCATGGATCCCCTCGAGACGCTAAGGCAGCTGACTTCGACGGGTCGACATGACAACTCGATGTCGGGGCCATCTGGGGCGGCCTCCAGCACCTCCATGCCAGCTAGTGGTGAGGGGATCCTGCCTCAACCCAGTCTGGGACAGTTGTACATGATGATCGCCAAGGCTTACAGAATGCAACGAGAACACAAGGAGCCTCGACAAATTCGTTCATCACCGCGTTTATCCGCCTTAGTACAACCATCGGTTGACACCTCCTTGGTCACAGGTGTCAAAATGAAGATTGATGGTACAGGAGGCTCAGTTGGCCGGCGAACAAAAGATCAGTCGGAACAGGATGGATCGGATCTGCCTGGCTGGCCGATGACGCGGGAAAGGGCCAGAAAGATAGAGTGCAGGCTGGAGCAGGAATTTAGGGATGCGCAGAGGCCTTTGAGTGATGCCGCTACATGTAATTATCAAACAGAAGACAAATTTCACAAGGTAAACTCTGGTTTCCAAGCCGTTGATCCAACAATCATGTACAGGAAGTTTTAATGTTGGCCTGTTTTAAGTCAAGCATAACCATCTATTTGTAAGAATAAGTAGTTGCAAACTATGGAGGAAAACTGAATTAAGGAGAATCCTTTGATAAATTCATGTTTGGCCAGGCGAGTAGAATGAATTCGTAAATTATACGCATTAGAAACCAGAAGACGATTGCGTTGGAATTATCAAGGTCGATTTGTATGAAAAGGTGTTCGTGGCACTGGGAAAAAATCGTAGCTGGT